TCCATCCGCCCATCCAGCCATCTATTGGTCTGCCCATCCATCCATCCCTCCCTCCCTCCCTCCATCCGCCCATTCATCCATCTATTGGTCTGCCCATCCATCCATCCCTCCCTCCCTCCCTCCGCCCATCCATCCATCTATTGGTCTGCCCATCCAACCATCCATCCATCCATCCATCCACCCATCCATCCATTTGCCCATCCATAAGACAACCATCAATTTGGTACCTGCTAAGTGGCTGGCACTGGGCTACTCCAGTAAGCAGTGGTAAAACCAGTGGGCCTGTCCCTGCCCTCCCCTCCCAGGGCTTCCTCTGGCTTGGTGTACCTGGCTGCAGTCTCACCTGCGCACAATTCCTCCATAGTGGGGAGAAGCCACCTACTCCCTCTCCCGCCCTTAAGCCTTGTCTCCCTGCTTCTCCTCCTCGGGTGCCTGCACACCCACCCTTCCTGCACCTCCACTTCCCAGTTTAATCTCTTAAGTAGGAAAACAATGAATCCCATGTGTCTGGCTTTGCTCTTTATAAAGCTCTTGCTCATTTTATGTTGGGAGGACCTCATAGAACAGTTGGGACAGATGGAGAAATAGGGTCCCAGAGGACAGGTGGCTTTACCAAGCTCACACAGTTAGTGGGTGGTGGTCTGGGGACTGGGATTTGTTGCGCATGCGTGTCAATCAGAGGGGTCAGGGCCCCGTCCCCCGCTCCCCGCCCCCGCCTGCCCCCGCACCCACCTAGGGGGCCGATGTGGCGCTGCGCTGTCTTGCGTGGCCTCCTGGTGTCGTGGTCGCACACCCACTGCTGGCAGCAGCGGCCGGGGACGCTGACCCGCCGGGGGCGATGGCACCAGAGGCGCGGGGGGCGCGCGCGCAAGCACAGGGGTGTGCAGCCCACCGCGCCGTCCACGCACGTGCAGTTGTACTTGCAATTGGGCTGGAAGGACTGGCCGTTGGTGTAGCGCACCCCGTCCAGGACGCAGCCCACGCCGACCACCTCTGCAAACACACGCGCGGCTCGGGTCAGGCCCTCTGGGCTTCGCCCCTCGGCGGGGACCTCTGCCCGCCTCCACCTGGCTCTGACCCCGGAGGAGCGCCCACGCCGGCAGGACCACGCAGGGCCCAGCCAGCCCCCGGGAGTGTGGGGAGACTTGAGCAGAGGCAGTGAGGGAGTGTGGGGTGCAGCTCAGGCACCAGCCATCAAGTGACCCCGTGTCAGGCTGGCAGCGCTGAGAAGGTAGAGCCTGGTCGGGGCAGGAACCTCTGCCACCTGTCAGTCCCGCCCCCGGCACGTGGCACAGAGCTGAGGACTGACAGAGACCTCTAGGGCCATGGTTCTGAGGGGCCAAGTGTAAAACCAATCCAAACACTTTGGAAGATTCTGCTCATTCAGTGCATGTATTTATGGAAGGTTCTAGGCACTGGAGGTTCGGGGAACAAAGTGGACAAAACCATGCCCTCATAGAGCTTCCAGTGCAGTGCGGGTAACACAGGAAAGACGAACAGATCATACAGAGTGTTGGAGGGTACCGAGGCCGGGGAGAACAGCAAGAGGAGGGGCGGCTGGGGGGGGGGCACCTCACCCAGGTGATGCTGCTTCAGCAAAGGTGGAAGGAGGCAAGGAAGTCAGCTGGCACTGGTGTTGGGGGGGAGGTCTCCCAGGCAGGGAGGGAGCAGGCCTGGGAGGTTAGGGGTTGGGGGCCAGAGATGAGGTGAGAGAGGGTTTCCTTGGGGGCTCAGAGCTGTTAGCATCTAGACACACAGTGTGTGCTCCGTAAGCAACTGTTGATCCCCCTCTAGGAATCGTGCTTCACAAGAGCACAGGAGGTGCTGAACAGAACAGGCAGTAAGGACAGTCAGGAGGCCAGCCCTATAATCCAGGTGAGAGGTGGCTGTGCTTGCACCCTGGAGGGACCAGGAGCCCTGAGGAGGGCTCAGCTTCTGGGTGTGTTTGGAAGGAACAGCCGCCGGATGAGATGGGAGGAGCAGAGGAGCGAGGTCAGGAGTGACTCCTAGTTCTATGACCTGAGCCCTAGCAGGGGAGGGATGGATGCTCTGTCCTCGGAGGAGCTGGTTTTGGGGTGAGTGGCCTTAGGCGTTCTTCATTAGATATGAGATCTGGTTAAAGAAACCTAGGGGGCAGGAGGGGTGTGGAGCCACTGGGCCCCCCAGCACCGCCCCTGGCTGCCTTGAGGACAGTGCCTGGAAGTGCATGCAGAGAACTCCCAGGAAGCAAGGGTGCCCACCCAAGGATGGCTAGTTTGGAACCCGCAGTCTGCCAATAGCTCCAGCAGATCGCCCCAGTTTGCCGGCAGTTGGTCACTGACACCAATAGTCCCAGTATCTAACAGGAGTGAAGGGTTCCTAAGCGCTGTCTCTGTTCTTTGGTCACCAGACCTGCTGTGTGTCAGGCTTCCATGCATTGCTGGTTTCCTCCTACAAGGAAACACCACCCCATTTTCACATACAGCAAAACTGAGTCTCAGTGAAGTTAAGTCAGGCGTCGAAGGCGACACAGCCAGATGCCGAGTCTCAGCCTGTGGGAATGTTGGCATGACTGCTCTTTTTTCTGGGAGGTGATCGTGCAGGGTGGAGGCACAGAAAGGAAGGCACTCCCGCTCACTGGCCATCTGATCTTGTGCCAGGCACCATCTGATATGTTATCTCATTCAGTTCTCCCAGTAAGTTCACGAGGAGAGTTTTATTTTCCCTGTTTGGCAGACAGGGAGGTCCAGTGATTCATTAGCTCAAGGTCACCCAGCTGGTGAAGGATAGAGCTGCACTTCAATCCCTGGGGATCTGACTCCACAGCCCATTTCCTTCCACCAGACACCAGTAAAGGAGGGGAAATTGGAAAAAACAACAACAAAAAAAAACAAAGGAAAACGAAAACAAAACAAAGCAGAGGAAGCTCTGGGTGAATCACTCATCCTTTTGTTCTGAGTCACCCCCGACTGTGCCCTTGCTCTGGGAAGGTGTGAGCACGTGTGCGTGCACGTGAGTGTGTGTGCACGCTGGTGGAGGGGGCGGAGGGAGTGTGCTGAGGCCTGCTCTCTGCCCGTGTGTGGCGGAACGTTGGAGGGACAAGGCAGTACTGGGGGCCTGGGAGCCCTTAGCACACTGGCACCACCCGGGGGGGGCTTTCAAAAATTCTGATGCCCACACCGTGCCCCCGAATATGGGCGTAGACCCGAGACTCAGTATTTTTGTTATTTTTTTGAACTTCGATATTTTTTTTTTAAGATTTTATTTATTTATTTATCAGAGAGAGAGAGCACGTGCACAAGCAGGGGGAGCGGCAGGCAGAGAGAGAGGGAGAAGCAGGCTCCCCGCCGAGCAGGGAGCCTGATGTGGGGCTCGATCCCAGGACCCTGGGATCATGACCTGAGCCGAAAGCGGATGCTTAACTGACTGAGCCACTCAGGCATCCCTGGCCTTTGACAGTTTTTAAATCTCCCCAGGTGAATCCAGTTTGCAGCCAAGATTGGGAACCACTGCTTCCAAAAGCTGCTCCCGGTCTCCTGGGAATTTGGGGCAGGTGGGGACAGTGGTGGTGCTAGTGGCCCTGAGCAGCCTGCCCACCATAGGCTAGAGGGAGAGTGGGGTGCATGATATGTATGGGGCCTGGGCCCACAGCAGACTCTAATGCCCCCTCCTCATTCACTTTTAAACTAATGGAAGGACCGGCTCCTGGTGAAGCTCACCATCTCCTATCTAATCTCAGGCTTGCAAGTACAGGCATGGTGTGGTGAGCCTTCCTCTTACTGAAGGACCCATAGGAACTCAAATCATTGGCTCCACCATCCAGGCCTTCACTTCCCTCACCCACCCCCTAATGGACTGTCAGCTGCATGGGAGCAAGGACAGTGGGTCATGCCTTGTTGTAACCCAACTGTTGCATTATCACCCACCTATTCATAACTGTGTGAATGAGTCAGTGGATGGAGGGAATGGATGGAGGGATGGATGGATGGATGGATGGACGGACGGACGGGTGGATATATGGATGGAGGGGAGGTGGGGTGAGCCCTCATCTGTATTGGGCTCCTCCCACGTGTCAGGTTCTTGACATCCCAACCACCCAAAGAAGTAGGTATTATTTGTCACATTTCCTTGATGACAAAACTGACACTTACAAGGTTAAGTAGCTTGCCCAAGGTCACCATATTAGTTATGGAGCTGGAATTTGAACTTTAGATTGTCTATCGCCAAAGACCATGCATGAGCTGTCTACTCCTTCGCTCTTTACACCGGGGAGTCTAGCCTGGAAGGAGACCTGCCTCCTCCTCTGAGGATGACTGTGGACAAAGCCGAGATAATTTCTGCAAGGGAAAGTTAAAACAAAGCAAGTAAAACAATGACCCAGAATAGCCGGTCACATCTGAGGCTTTAATGCGGTCCCTTGTTTATTCTCAACAGCTGAATGAGGTTGGTTTGATCAAGATACTTAAGTTGTGCCCAAGGTCACGTAACCAGCAAATGGCAGAGCCAGTATTCAAAACCCAGATCTGTCTGCCTGTAAATTGCATGATCCTTCCAGCAAACCACCCTGCTCTCAGGCCTGGCCCAGCTGTATTAAACACAGAGTAATGTTTGTACAACCCAAATAGCCAAAGAGTGTAATTCAGAGGTCACTCTTTGCCCATAGAAGTATTTAGTTTGGCCCACAGAACATTTTGAAAAAAAAAATTTGGGGAACATATTGCCAACATTTACAAATCATACACAAATCTGGACTTTTGGATTCTCTTGGAAACCGAGCAGAATGGACAAGACCAAGCTCACTTTTCTGCCTGGCCACAGTGACTGGTGCCCAGGAGCAGTGACCTCTGGTAGCCAAAGCTTGCATTCACTCATTTGCCATAATTCCACCTTTCTCTGAGTTACGTGTCGGTGTTGGGGCTGCTCATTCTTAGGACCTGTCTTGTCTCGGCCTAGTTACGTGCACATCTCCAAACCCAGGTTTAACCTGTCTTGGGGACCAACCAGTGGTTGAATTGACCATTTGCCACCAGACTGTCTGTGGGACTCTTCTTTCTCTTTCCCCTTCTGGCCCCAAGGTGCCTTCCTCTCTGTGGCCATCAGACCCTGGCCGCTCGTCTTTCTTGCCTTAGGGTCTCGTGAACTCAGACACCGTGGCAACATTTCTAGGAAGATGTTTCATAGAACCCTAGCGAGTTGCATGTTTGTGTGTATGTGTGTACATGTGATGTGTGTATCTGTGAGTGTGCACATGTGTGGTGGGGTGGAGGAGTGGTAAAAATCTACCTGGACAAAGCAATTCCCTGTGCAAATAAGTTTCAAAAACAAGGGCCTCTTATATCTCCCATTTTGGAATTTTACAGTGGGTGTGAACAGTTAAAACTTCTCAGAAATTCTGTATACTTGTTGCACTTTGTTTATTCCAGTATCTGCAAACCTGTATGACCAAGGAACCATTGGCAAGTGTAATACCTATTAAAATCTGTGGAGCAGTTTTCCTTCCAGATAAAAGGAAAGGAAATACAGAGGGGCTCATGGTGAGGGTAAGCTAAGAAGCTCTAGGGAGTGAAAGCAGGACCCAAGACACAAGGAGATACGGGGTGAGGATGGATTGGGAAGGTGGTTTTCCAGGCCTCTGGTGGGGAAGGGCAGGCAGGAGAGGCAGTTTCAGGGCCTGCACAATCTCTGGGTCCATGAGAGAAGGTGTATAAAGACATGGTGCCAGGCATGTAATAAGATGTCAGTACGGCTCTAGAGATTAGTATGATCACAGTGAACTGAGCTACCTTTTTAAGGACCTTGAAAAACAGCTCTAAGAGGGAAAGAAATGATGAGACAGTCTCCTGTAACAAAGGGATTCTAGTGTAGGAAGGCTCAGCCAGATTTCTCACCGGGTATGAGGAGAGACTATATGACTTTCTATATATATAAGCAGTCAGTCTCAAACTTGGGTGTAAATGAGAATCACCTGGGAACCCTGTTAAATGTTTATGTGCCCACCTTCCCTTTTAGAGAATTTTACTCAGTAAGTCTGGGGTGGGGCTCAAGGATAACATTTTTCACCAACACATCAGATGATTCTATGCAGGTGTTGCTCCAAGTTCTCTTTGAGCACACTGTTTTGTGGGGCTAATAATTAGTCTGAATAAAAGGGGAAAAGTAAAGGATGGGAGGATCAAGGGTGGTTACTTGGAAAGCTAAAGACAGATGACTTTGAATGAAAGTTGAAGCATGAATCAATGATAAAAGAGCAGAAAGTGCTTATAATTAACTGTGAGGCACAGGTAGGATTGTCTGACTCGGAATTATGGTCATAACCCTCATCAACCACCCACCTCAGGAGATAAAAAAGGTAGGCTGAGGATGAGAGACTTTGCTATGTGTGAACATGTAATTGGGTGCATATGGCGTCATAGTTATGGAGAAATCTTGATTCAGCACTAAGGGAAGAAAGGCGTTCTTGGGTTTATGAGGCTTTATGTACTTTTTCAGAAGTTAGGCTACTGTGTCATGATGCCTAGTAACCTCTCTTTATCATGCTGGGTCACGTATTTTGGATAAATGCTTGGACAATTCAAGCTAAGTGACTGCCATTCCAGATAGAAGCATGAGATCAGAAAGTCCCTGGAAGGAAGTCTCTGGGAACAAAAAAGGACATGATAGAGCACTTGAAGAGCAAACAAACAACAACAGTTGTCCCCCCAGCATGAGGATATTATAAAGAGCAAAGTAAAGAAAAAGCAAAGGCAATTAGAACCCCAGGAAAAACAAAAAAGCCTCATGAGAAAGAAAATTCAAACAAATACAGTATCTCATGCTTCAGCAACATTATTTATGTAGTCATAATATTGTAAATACTGATTATTGTATAACCAAAAGTTATGAAAATAAAACGGCAAGATAGGTGATGTGTCTGATGGTATTGAGGAGTTAAGTCATCAGCTGTCATATAGGAACATTGATAGGTTATCCAAAATTGATATTTTAAGCCAATCAAGTTATAAGAGAAGACATACATTATATAGTGACAACTACCAGAAGAAAGGGCTCAAAAGTTAAAAGTGACAGTGGTAACTGAAGGAACATGGGTGTGTGGGAAGGGATGATTGTAGCCTGATGGATGTTATTCTTTCAAGGTTACTGGATGTAAAAAAACAGACAAACATATTATTTAAATTTAGAATGTTACTAAAATATCCGGGGCTCTGATGAGTTTTGGTGCCCCGGGAAGGCATAGGCATCCCGCAAAGGGTCTACAGCTCAGAGAATGAAACCATGCTTAGGTCTTCCCTGGTGGGTCCCTATTCCCCTGTCAGCCACGGATGTGCCTCCAGGACCGAGAAGAGAGCAGGAAGCCAGGCTCAGGAGGCAAGAGGAATGCAGGCATCCCTCCCTCTTCAGGAAGGGCCCAGCTTCTGACCTCTAATCATAGACTAGAGTAGGAGGAGGGCAGAGACTGGCCAGGGGAAGGGCTATAGGTGAGGGCTAGAGCTGGGGGTGCTGGGGGCTGGCCAGAAGGTAGGGAGGGTCTCACTTACGTGCACACACTCCTATTGCGTACCTCGGGCTGTCCCCACTGTAATCACAGTAGAGGCCCCGGTGGGGGTCACAGATGGCTGCCTCTGTGCAGTTGTCCCCGAGCTGCTGAGCACACATTTTACAGCATTCACAGCCATCTGTGATGAGGCTGACCCCCAGCGGGCAGCGGGGTGGGGACGGCGGGCACTCACATGGCCACTTGCAGAATTGCGGGCGTGAAGATGTATCCTCTAGTGGCGCTGGGGTGAAGGCCATGGCCGTGGGGGCTGGAGAGAAGGCCTGTAGGGGAAGAGCAGAGATAAAGGGCTGCTGGGCAGGGGTGTCAAAGCCTAAAGGGTCGGCAATCACCTTCTCATCTTCTTGGTGTTAAAAGGTTTACATAAAATTATGGTTTTATCTACCATGTTTTTAATAGCCAGACATCTCCTTTCTCTTCAGTAAAACAAATAGGAGCTAAGAGCCAGGAGGTCGGAGAAGTTAAGCCAATTTCCCCAGTGCCCTTACTGGAGGTGGTGGGGCCCTGATTCTATGTCAGAACTCTGGCCTCACTAAGCCTCATATGTGTTTCTGTCCATCCTCGAGTGTCCCACAACCTGGGTGTGTTTCCTTCCATCTTCAAGCATCCCACAGCCTGGGTGTGTTTCCTTCCATCCTCAAGCATCCCACAACCTGGGAGGGCGCCGAGTCAGTCTCATTTCACAGATGTGGGACCCGAGGCTCTGAGTAGTGAATGCCTTCTGATGAGTCATGTTTCAAGGCGCGGCCCGGATCCCATTGCCTTTTCTCCTCTGGCCAAAGAGCCACCCTCTTCACTCCACTATGGGTCCTTGGGAACTTGCAGAGCCAGATGACTCATACTTGACAGCAGGTTTTAGCCAGATGACCTATTATTATTATAATTAGTTGCCCTCTGAGCCCCAGGAAAGGCTGCGGTGAGGTGGCGGCAGGTGACCCCTTCAGAGCCCACTGTGGCTGGCTCTCCCTGTCCTGTAGAGGGGAGTTAGGCCCCTGTTGCTAGTGCCAGGCCTGCAGACAGGAGTCTCCCAGCCCACACGCCTCCCATGGCCCCATTCCCATCCCCCAGCCCCCAGGTTCATTGTCACCCTGAAAACATCATGGATGCAACACTGGGAAGCTGGAAAGAGGAGAGACAGGCCCAAAGAGCCATCCCTGCCCTGAAGAACAAGGAGATAGAACAGGAGGCTGCTCTGGGGTGTCTTTGAGTTTAAGAGTTTCAAGCCGCCTGTATCTCTGGGAGCCAGTCACCTTCGCACCCCCTCTGGCTGCCGCCCTGAACCCCTATCCTGGACCCTCACTCTTTACACTGGAGGAAGCAGAGACTGCAGGAGAAAGGGAATTGTCTGAGGACAGAGAATGTGCACACGGCTCCCGGCCATTCTCCCATCCCCAGGCCAGTGTGGTCCCTGCTGGGGGAGCATCTTGTCCCGGGCTTCTGAACCATGACTCCAGAATTCCAAGGGCAGCAGAGGTGGGGACCAGGGCTTCTCCCCCTCCCCCTCGAACCCGAGAAACCCTGCTCGGTGGAGCCTAGAGATCTGCATTTCATCCTTGGAATGACACATGCTGACATATTCAGATTCTTCTTCCCTTTTCCCGAGGAGGAAACTGAGACCCAGAAAGGCAGAGGAACATGTCCAGGATGACACAATATGTGTCAGGATCTAGGCACAAACCGCTCTTATAAGTCTCATTTCTACACCCTTCACCTTTGCCCTCTGGGTTCTTGTAATTGCATAACAAACGTTTGCTGAGCTAGCTCATGGCCTCTCTCGAGTTCTAGGCATTTGAAAATGAATTTAAAAATTCTTGGAGTTTGGAGAACTCACAGCTTATGGGAGAGGCAGACATTAGAGGTGATTTCTTATAGCTCAAAGCTGTACGCAGAGTGCTGGGTGTCCCAGGGGGGCCCAGGGAGCTCCGGAAGGTCAGGGCAGGAGTCGCGCTGCCCCAGGGCAGTGAAGTCCACCCTTGCACACTTGGCTGGGAAGACCAGCGGCCCGGAGAGATGATCCAGACTGAGGGCTGGATTCGTTGGGCTCTTGGTTAGGGGCTTTGCACATAATCCTTTCCACTGTAAATGTTGATTGGACTTTTGAAAATCAAAAGGGCAAATCTTGATTTGAGGCTTCTACGACCTCTGGGCTTGGTTTCAGGGCTCAGTCGTACCCCCTCCTTTCCTACCGCAGGACCTCTGCCCTGAGTTCCCTGTGACCAAAATGTCCTTCCCGCCTCCCTTCGCTTGGGCACTGCCACTCAGGCCCCCGCTTAAGGGCTTCCCTCGGAGAGCGCGCTCCTGGCCCGCTGACCTGAGCACCTGGCCTGTCCTGCCGAAGCTCTGCACACCTGGTGGCCAGACTTGAGTGTGTTTGAGAGACTAAGCAAGCCCACGGGGAGGAGGGCAGGGCGGGGCCCTCCACATGGGGCCTGGCCCACAGCAAGCACCGCAGGGAGGCCTGGGGGCTGTCTGCCGCCCATTTCTCCAGATGCCATTGAAAACCTCTCCCCCCGTCCCGCCTTATCCTATCCTCACTGGGGGCTTCTCTGCTAGCCTAGAGACAGAGACCCAGGATGGCCAGGAGAATCATGCCTGCAGCTACTTCCACTGTCCATGGGTGACATGGCTTGGCAAGGCCTTGCTGGCCAGGATCCAAGAACTCTAGGAGGTCGGAAGTGCTGGTCCCTGTTCACCTGGGGGATCAGTTTCCCTGCCCCTGCTTGCTTTTCCTCAGAAGTACAATGCAACACAACAAAACCCCAAACCCCCTCATCAATAAACCGGCCGGATGTGCACACACACACACACACACACACACCCATCTTTCTGACTCTGTGGAGAGAATTTTCCTCGTCATTCTGTGACATTAGAAGGCTCAGAGCTTCATAAGCACCCATGAAGTGTCTCTGATCAGTCCCCAGCCCCTCAGGATATATATATTCTTGGCAGAGGAAATTAAAAAAAAGCCCTTTCCTCCAGGAAGGCTTCCATGCCCTCCCCCGACTGTGTTAGAGGGGCTCCCTCCCCATCAGATCATGAACTGTAAAGGCCTCACTGTTGTCTGTGTGCCTGAAACATGGCCCAGAACCCAAGGCAGGTGTGTGTAAGTGTTGCCTAGTGGAATGGCCACATGGGGGATTGTTGACTACAAGGGGCTTTGGTGTCACTTGATACTCAGGACCTCCAGTCCTGGAACCTATCCTCTTGGCTCGGATTAAATTTGAGTGTCAACAAAAGAACACGGGACCTGAGACAGCCAGCAGTGTGTTCCTTCTGTGTGGCCTTGGACAAGCTACCTAACCTTTCCGGGCCTCGACATCCCCATCTGTGATATGGCCATAATAATGTCCCCCTCTGGGAGCTATGGGGAAGGGGGGAGCCCATGTATGCGGAAGCACTAGTAGGGCCTGGCACATGGCAGGCCCTCAAAAACATGACTTCTCCCTTGCATTTCTTTGTTGGGGGCCCTCTCGAACCCCCATAGGGCTCAGCATGGGGCTTGTGGGGTTGGGTCCTCTGAGCTGGGCTGGGCTGGGCTCTCATCTGGCAGGTACCCCTCTCCACGTGGTCACCATCTGTTCTGGGGTCTCCAGGTTAAAGCTCCCCAGAAGGAAGGCTCCTTTCCAGTACTTGCTGGGAGCCCCAGAACACACAGTTCCTTAAGGGAAACCAGTCAGGGGAGCTGGGGCAGTGAGGGACCCACTCTGGGAGGTCAGTTTAGCTCAGACCTTACTATTGGCGCCATCTGCTGGTGGGAAGCCTCCTAGGCCTCAGTCCAGGGGAGAGGGGAGAGGGAGTGCCTGGGGGGCCTGAGAACTCCTGAGTCTCACGTGAGCCCCTTGAATCCTTGCTGCCTTGCCCTGCGTTGACACCACAAGGGATGTGACTGTGGATTCTTCCTGATGATGAATTCTCTGTGTGTGTGTGCACGCGGGGAAGCAGAGGGGTGCCATGCGCTTTCTGCCCTCAAGAGTGGACAGTTTAGCTGGGGAAATGTGTCGACTCTTCCATGCATTCTATGGACAGATGCTTAGTGAACACCTACCACGTGCCTGGCTTTGTGTGAAGCTTGAAGGAAGCAAGGGTGCATGAGACACAACCCCTCTGCTCACCAGCTTCCCACCCATGGGGCCAACAGACACGAACATGGTAATTGTAATTCAGTGTGATCAATGCTATAATGATGGTACCACACATTCCTGCACACCCCCCTCCATTCACTGGGTCACTCAACACACCTCTAGTCGGCTCTCCTTGGGTGCCAAGTGTTAGACTATGTGCTGGGCCGACAGTGGGGGATACCAAAGGGAAACAAAGCTGACCTGCCTGTGGGAGCACACAGGAAGGTTGGCCATGTCTGCTGGGACTGGAGAGGGCTTCTCCGGGAGGTGGTGTGGGAAGAATAACAGGTGTGTGAAGACGAGCAGGAATAGAGCAGAAGGAACGGCACCAAAGCAGATACAGAGGCCATGAACAGTGCGCACGTGCTTGTGTCCGGGTCATGGGGAGAACCGCGGGGAGTTGGTGCGGGGTGCAGACAAGAGGTCCGAGGAGACAGAGGCTGGAGCAGATCACAGTGAGGTCACTGGCAACTAGATCAAGGAGGGACCCGAATGCCTGGCTACAGTCTCAGGCTTTTGGCTGGAGTCTGCTGCCTTCATTCATTGAAGGATTTTAGCAGAATGATCAGGACAGATTTGTGTTTTAGAAACATCGCACTGTGTCAAGTCTAGTCTTTGCAACATACTGTCCGTGTGACTCTGGGAGTTCACTTTCCGAGCCTTGGTTTTCTCTGCTGTGAAATGCCATTCCTACTGCTAGATACCCCCACTCACTAGGGTTCTGGGAACAAGCACCAAATGAGACCATGGCTATGGCTTCTAACTTACCTACAGTCCATTCCATTGCAGACCATAGCTCCAGTGACCGCTAGGGGCCAGTCTTGAGTTAGATTTCAGATGAGCTCCATTTCACAGATCAGCAAAGTGACTTGTTCATGGTCAACATGTAGTAAGTGACAGAATTTGGACTTAAATCTGCTGGGTTCATGCTTTTCCTACTACTGTACATGAAGGAGAATTTTCTAATGGAAGGAATCAGTTGTGAGGTTGTGAGTTCACCATCAGTGGAGGTAATCAAGAAACAGCTAGACAATCATCTGGGCTGGGGGCTGTAGAGGAGTGTCAGGCTTCACAAAGCCTGTCACATAGTGGGTGTCAATAGCATCTGTCAATAGAATGAAGGAGTCAATGTACATTTCCCCCCGACGCTGTCCTCTCTCGAGGGCAGAAACCATGTGCCGTCCATTTCCCTGTGCGTGTGCACACACAGGCCCTTACATCATAGCTAATATCTACAGGTGTTCGTTATATATGGAGAACTTTTTAAAAAAATTATTTATTTTTGAGAGTGAGCAAGTGGGGGGAGGGGCAGAGGGAGAGAGAGAAAGAATCTCAAGCAGTCTCCATGCTCAGCACAGAGCCCGATCTCATGACGCTGAGGTCATGACCTGGGCCAAAATCAAGAGTCGGACACTTGGGGCCCCTGGGTGGATCAGTCGGTTAAGCGTCTGCCTTTGGCTCAGGTCATGGTCCCAGAGTCCTAGGATCGAGCCCCGTGTCGGGCTCCCTTCTTGGGGAGCCTGCTTCTCCCTCTCCCTCTGCAGCTCTTCCTGCTTGTGCTTGCTCTCTGTCTCTCTCTCTGTGATATAAATAAATAAAATCTTAAAAAAAAAAGAGTTGGACGCTTAACCAACTGTATATGGGAGAGCTTTTGATGCCCTGGGTCCTACAGTTCCCCCAACAAATCACGAGGCAGGCCTACTAATTTTCCCAGAGCAGAGGCAACAGGCTCAGAGAGGCTGAGTGACAGCACGAGGGCACACAGCTAGTCATGGTTGGGCGGCGGGGCAGCTGGGATGGAACAAAGGCTGCCTTGCCCGAAGATCTTGAACCCCTAACTCTTCTGCCATCTGTGGTCACCCTCCCAGAAGAGACTGCGCTCCTGTGGTCCCCTCACAGCTGACCAAGGCAAATATCCAGAGGCTGGGGGCTCCAGGAGAGGCTGTGGGGACCCTTGTGTGAAGTGTCTGTCCCCGCAGGATCGCATTTCCCGACAAGTGGAGACCTCGGTCGTTCATGTCACTGCCACAGCTGAGGCCAAGTGGCCCAGCACCCTGTTTCAAAGTCCTGCTCCCTCTAGAAACTCCAGCCCAAGCTACAGTCCTGGGGTTGATCGGATTGGGGAGGACCTGCTGCTGAGCAGAGAGTCGGGAGGGGCTTACGGCCAGCCTTGTTCGGAAGGGTCCTTGAGTATTCCAGCTGGGAGGCATCTTAGAACTCCTCTCTGACCAACCTGCCCATTGGAAGAAGAATGTGAAGCCCATGGTTTCCTCTCTGAGGAATATTTACTGAACACCAGCAACAGGGCGGGCCTTGTGCGGGATGGGGTTGGAGCAGCGGGCCCAGAAGATTCACTGTCCTCACAGAGCTCCTTCTCACTGTGTCCCCTTTCCAGGCTCCTAATTCCAAGAATTTAGATTTCCACGCCAGGAGCTCCTACAGCTGATACTGGCCCCGGGCAGGCGAATCTGGTAAGGAAAGCCATGAAATGTGCTAGATACAGTGCATTCAGTTAATGAATCCCCCTACCAATCCTTGGGGGAGTAACTACCCCAGTCCCACTTAACCAGTGGGGAAACTGAGACTCAGGGAGTCTAGGCAGCTGCCCAGATGCCCAGGCAGCGATTGGCAGAAGGACTGAGCCTGCAGGGTCTGACTCCACGTTCTGTGCTCGAAGCCTCTGGTTTCCCTTTGAATCACCCGTCGCCCCCCGCCCCACTCTAAACCACCCCCCGGCGGTGCACGGTGCTGATGACAACTTTTGCCGGGGCCCCTCCGCAGGCAGGGGACGCTTGCTGACATCAGCTTCTAGCAAGACGGCCTGTCCACGAAACCCTAGGCAGCAGCTGAGGTGTGGGGGAGGCGATGGTGTCTTCCTAGGGGGCCCAGTTAGTCCGGAAGCCTCCAGTCCAGTGAGCCCCCTGCACCTGTGTCCGTCCAAGAGCAGCCTCCCATGTCCCCCAGGGGCCGAGCCAGCTCACCCGTGGGTGTCTCCCTGAGGTTCCTCTCGGGAGCACCAGCTCCCTGAGATGCCAGACGAGGCTGTGTCCGTCTGTCTGTCTCACACACGTTTTCTCTTTCACACACACACACACACACACACACACACACACACACACACACACAGAGGCTGTCAGCCACTTTGAATGTCCAGGTTAGCACGGCATGGCCACCTGCCCTTTGCCATGAGGCATGAACCATTGTCATAAAGACATGGGCTCTCTTTTTCCATCCATCACATGAACGGGGGAAGTGCCTCAGCTGGGGAATGGAGGTAAGACATTCCCCAGGCCTTCTCTTCACTGGCTTCCTTGGGAAGTCAGCCAAATCCCAGGACACGGCCCCCTCGCTCTTCCTGTGACCAGGGACGAGCCCTCCACCCTGTAGCACTGTCCTTACCGTGGGGGGCTCAGGGTGCAGCGGTTGAATGATGGGCAAAGTGCCGGAACCAGTGAGCTTGGGCCGCTCCGCCATGTTGGGCCCTTGTCTACATGGACAATGAGCATAGGACTTTTGGGATGCTGTTTTTAAACGAACACCTTATTCTATTTTTCAGCCCATTCCAAGCAATAGGTCCTTGGGCAAACCCACAGAGCACAGAGAGTAATTCTGGCCCAAGAGGAAGGTTTGGAGGAAGTTCTGTGTAGCCCAGAGCGATAGACTAGGGGGCCATTGTGTCTGCCCAGGATCTCCAGAATGGGACTTTCCTTCTGGGGCCGAGTCTCTTCCTGGAACCCCAGGATACTTGCTTGGCTGGGCCCTTGGGACACCCTGGGGCTCTTACCAGTTTCCCACTTTTTTTTTTTTTTTTGGTTTTGGAACCTCTCCCTGCATTCCCCAGCACAGACAGGAGCCGGTCCCACGCCCTGCCTCCTTCCCCAGACAGCTCAGCTACTGTCCTTTTACCCACGCTGAGCTATCCGAGCCAGGGTGGCTGTGCCCATTCTGCAGATGGGGAAACTGATCTTTGCAAACTCACTACCATATGGGGCCTACATCAGGTTTTCTGACAGCAGAAGCCAAGAGGGGAAAAGAAACAATCTTTGATTTGCTTCCCCAGGTGGGTGCCCAGTGCTCACTTGGTCACAGCCTACTCCTGGCCAGTTCCACCCGCTCAGCCTCACCAGGGGCGCCCCCACCCAGCCACTTCTTCTGACAACCAGGGTGGCCATTACAAGTAGAATCACTTCCCACGGTGGTTCCCAAACCTCGCTGCATGTCAGAACCACCTGGAGGCTTTAACAAACACTGATGCGTGGCCACTGTCCCCAGATACCCTGACTTAAATGCTTTGGGGAGGGGCGTGGGCACTGGGACGTTTCCAGGTGGTTCTGAGTGCAGTGGAGGTGGAGAACAGTGTGGCCTACAGAATACAGACTCCTGACCCCCACGGAATATTCGGCTTCGGTTCCTCTAGGCCAGGCAGAGAATCTGTATTCTGGCCTGCACCTCTGGTGATTCTCATGGGAATGGGAAACCTGTCTTTGAGTGCACGGCAGGGGAGGGAAAGGTGTGGGGGCTCCAGGCTGCCTTCCTCTTTGTATGATCACTGTCTTCCTCTTGGAACACAGAACTTCTGTATGATCACACTCCCGTGCATTACCTGCAGACGCCCTACAGGTCATGAGGTGGAGCCCTTGTGAGTGGGGTTAGTGCCCTTCGGAAGGAGACCCCAGAGAGCCCCCTCGCCCCTTCCTCCGTGTGAGGACACAGTGACAAGACACCAGCTATGACCTCATCAGAACATGACCATGCGGGCACTTTGATCTCGGTCTTCTAGCCTCCGGAACTGTGAGAAACACATCTCTGTTGTTCATAAGCCCCCTGGTCTGTGGTGTTTTGTCACAGCTACTTGAATGGATTAGGACAGTGTCAGACACTCCCCCTCTGGACAAGGAGGGCGATCGTGAGGCAGGGTAAAAGAAATGAGTTGATCCCTGCAATGGAACTTACTGGACAAATGGAAGCAAATGAAAATGGGGGGAAAAAATTAAAGCCCCTGTAGGAAATGCTGCAAATGTAGTTTGGAGATGCTGTTTAACGATGAGCAGTAACTATGGATTTTATGGTGTTTTCCAGCCTCTGAAGATGGACCCGGGGACAAGTGAATCTACAGTTTGACTTGCATTATCAGTTTCCCAAGAATGCATGGCAGCAGGCAAGGGAAAGGAGAGTCGGAAGCCGGCCGGGGCGGGGTGGGGCATCCAGGGGACTTGAATGTTCTGCTTGATGACAGGGATGGACCCCATCCTCTTCTGAGTGTGTGCGTGGTTCATCGGGGACAGGCGCCCTTGCGGGAGAGGAAAGGGCACAGCATCAAGACTACCCCACGGGGTGGTGAGGATTGTGATTGGGCTGAGCCCAAGCTGCCAAGGACCCCAGGAGAGGAGATGGGAACCTCCTGTGGGGGGTCTTGGGGAAGGGCTGTCTTTCCCGCCTCCTCAGTGCTCAGCACCGTGCCTGGCTCACTCGGGGCAGGTGTTCAGTGACTGGAGGGGATGGTCCTGGAGCCTGGCTTGCTCGCCTTTGGGAGGCAGCACCTAGACGGTCCACAAGGGGGCAGCCTTAAGACAGAAATGGTCTGAGAGGACCCTCAACTGTGTTCTGGGGGCTTCAGGAAAGGGCTGCCCTGCCTGGAAGCAGTTTCTGTTCACCCCTTTACTGAAAAGAGGGCCCTGGGGGCAGTGGAAGGATGTGACCCCCTCTGGCCTGGGCCCAGAGCTGTGGGACCCCCACAGCCCACCTGCCTTCTCTACCACTTTGTTCTCACATCTGATACAAGGGACAGGGGCAGTCACAGTATAAGCAGGTGGACCCCTATTTCCTGAGCTCCCCGTAGGAGAGCACCCCTAGGGATTTGTACCCATGTTCCTGGTGGAGGCTGGCTTCAGGTGGGCCCTGTCTTGGAAAGGTCTTAGCTCCCCACCCCTAAAGTCACCAGATCTTTCCATGCCTAGCCCTGGCTCCCAGGGCAGGAACTGAAGGCCCCACAGCTGACTCAGTTTTGGCCAGGCTGCAGGTCACGGGGTGTGGAAGAGTTTTGGGGATTTTTCTGCTAATTGGTTTTATAAACATGCAGTCTTGTGAGCTTCTGGCTGGGATGGGGGACTCGACTTTATAGGACAGGGCTGAAGGCTCAGGAAGCCAGACTTCTTTCCAAATAACGAGCCCTTGTGTGACCGTTGGTTCTTTCGTTCATTCATTCATTCATTCATCAAGCATATGAAGCATCTCCTAAGTTCCCAGTACAAAGCCTCAGGGAGCACCCCGCCTTCTTAGGAGACAGGACTATAAAAGGAGTAACTGCATCTAGAACAAGGATTGGAAATTGCAGCCCATCAACCACATCTGGCCCATTGCATTTTGTAAGGGGGAAGAAAGGATTTCCCATTTTCAAAAAGTTGTGAAAAACAACAACAAAAACAAAGAAGAATGTTCCACGGAGTCCTTCTAGGCCACAAAGCCAAGACTATTGACCATTTGACCTTTTGTAAGCAGTGTTTGCTGTTCATTCTTTGTTAGAGACAGGCGTGAATATTCACCAAAATTAGGAGAGTAATACAACCTCTCGTACCTTTCACCAACTTTAGCGATTATCAATGCTGTGTTGATTTTGCTTCATCTATTACCCGCCTACTCGCATACATTCCTTCCCTGAGGATTTCAAAGGAAAATGTAACCCCCATACGATGATCACACCAATAAAATCAGTTACAATGTTGTGATTTTCTCTAGTTAATAACCAGTCCTTAGTCCTTATTCAAATTTCACGGATTATCTCCAAAACTTCTTTTTTTTTTAATTGGACGGTTTCTCTGAATCAAGATCAACGCAAGGCCTACATGGGGTTCTGCATTTTGCCTTTTGTGCCTCCTTTCTTCGTTTTCACTCTACATAAATCATATAATCCTTGTGACAACCCTAAGAGGCATGTGGCTTTTGCAATCATCCTCCCCAATGTACAGATGGGTAAACTGAGCCCCAGAAAGGTCAGATAATTTGCCCAAGGCCACTCACAAATGGCAGAGGTAGGATTTGAACCCAATGGCCACACCACACAGCGTCTCAGCAGAGTCTAAATAAGGGATTTGAGAGCAAGATAAGAAGGCAAGGAGCAGGGGTATAGGAGCAGGGAGTGTTTCTCGGACGAGGCACCATGTGCACTGTGTCCTGAAGGATGATTGAGGATTGACCAGAAGGGCAGAGAGAGCATCGAAGCTGAGGACCAACAGGAACAAGGGTATGCAGGTAGCAGAGATGCAACATGGCACAGAAATGACCAGTGGTCAAGGTTAGGGCTTAGGGTTCTGGGACATGGAGATGGTAGGCTGGGGCCGTGGTCAGAGGACCATAAGGGCCACGCCTGGCATGTGTGCATCCCCTGGGGGAGATAGGGGTCTTTCCTGACTCAGCCAACACATAGTGCCGGGTGATGATCAAAACAACCCTGTGAAGTCAGCCCTCATGGTCTCAATTTGACAGATGGGGAAACTGAAGCCCACAGAATTTAAAAGACACTGCAAGAAAATTACGCACTCTGCCCTTCTGACTCTGGATCTCATACTCCTCCAGTGACCTCTAAGGGCCCCTTCTCTTGCCTAATTTCCAGTTCCTGCAATTCACCAAAAGGAACTGGGAGCCTTTGATGTCACAGGACTGGAAGTGGCAGTGGCCATGCGGTGACCAGGGACAGGGCCAGCCCTGGAACAATAGCCAAGACAGACAAGGGTGGAAAAAACTGCCACCCGTTGAGGTTAGGCCTGTTCTTCATACAGGGGAGGAGGGAGCAGCTTCCTGATAGAGCCAGGAGAACTATCTTCAGCAACTAGGCCCATACCTGGAGGTGGGAGGCCCTGGGCTCCAGCCCCCAGGCTGAGATTTGTGGCCTTGGACCAGCCACTTGCACCCCTACAGGGCAGGCTGGGATGAGGCAATCCTCTGGCACCTTCTAGCACTCTTGGCTGGCTGAACTCTGCCTCTGATAAAGGTAGTTCCTCCCTCCAGCATCCGGAGCCCAACCTCAGCTCTCCCTTGCCCCCATCCCAGACTGGATCCGACTCAGGCTGGGAGGACAGACATGGGCAAGGGGCTGGCACACTGGGACACCCCTGGGAGCAGGTCCTGCCAGCCCTGCCTGGGGGACGAGGTGGTGATTTTGAAGCTCCGATGGCCTGGGGGATCAGAGTAAAACTCTGCCTCAGTTTCCTCCTCTATGGGTGGGGGTGATAACAGTTCCTGCCCCGCACAGCTCTCCTAAGTGAGGTATGTGTGGCCCCAGCTCACAGTGAGGGTCCAATGGGGGGTGGTGCTTGCGGCTGTTGAAGAACAGAAGTTTGCCTGGGTCAGGACGCGTCTCTTTGGAGTACGGGGCCTGGAGCTGCTGTTAAAGAAGTCAGCTGGTGTGTGTGCACATGCGTGTGAATGTGTCTGTGTGTGTGAGTGCACACTCGTGTATGCCTGTGTCTCTCTGTGTG